TTATTAACTTGTTCGAATATCCGTTCTAACATATTTACAAATTGATTAAGTTTTTAAACTGACCAAATAACATACACAATCCAACCAAACCTACTTATGAGTAGCCCTAATTGTGTGGGTTGCATGATACTAGCACATAGTGGCGGAGCCACATATACTTAAGGGGTACCGATCGATACCTTTTGTTAAAAAATTATATTCTGTAGTTAAGTATGAATATTGTTTTTTATGAATATATATCTCATATATTGACATTTTTTGACTTCTACACAATTTAATTTTTTATGTTTTGACACACTTCAACTAAAACTCTATCAAATTTAAAGTAGTGCATATAGATCATAGTATAATTACCCCTATCGAGTTAAAATTCTAAATCCCGCTTTAATAGTCATTATACCCATGATTAATTTGCAATTTTGTAGTTAATTATTTATTAATGCAGGTTGATTCTTCCTTTTTTGTTAACATGGTGAAAATAAATAAATAGAAGTACCACAGTGTGATATAAATAAATTAATTAGAAGATAAATTTAATATAATTAATAAATTTAACTAATTATTACGTAGTCTAAGATCCTGTTAAAGAAATTTTATTTTCATTTTCAATGGGAATGAGATATGTATATTCAACTCCAATCTTCAAAATCAGGCCACAAGTATTAATATAATATTGTTAATAAACATTATTCTTAATTAATTTTTGCTTAAGATAAACATCAAAGTACATACCAAACTTCTTACCTAAGCATGATGTAATTTTTTGAAGAAAAATAAAGTGACGGCACTAATAGATGTCTAATTGTATTATAAACTATGTTTAACACGCATCTATTTAACCTTATATTATTAATCAAGATAACATATTATTATTATTATTACATGTACGGACAAAGTCAATGGTTTAAAATAAGAAAATACAAAGATAATTAGAGTGAACATTTTAAGAAAGTTATATGAATTTGATTCAAAATTGATAATATCATACCATGAATATTGATTATTATGAACTTGACTTATAACTACGGTCTGGTAAACTAATGATTCATCGAGATGAATATAAAAATGACGAAGTGAGTCCAATTTGATGTTTTTGCTTGAATATGAATCAATTTACTATTTTTATTTATAGCTTTGAAGACATTTACGAAAAAAATGAAGTATGTGAGCCTTGATATGGTGATCATATACACTTGGATGATATGAGTAGCACAAGGTTAATCTCTAAATAAGCTCATAAAGTGATGGATCACGTAAAACTTATTAGTTCATGATGGGCCACGTGGAATTTAGTTTAGATAAAAGAATATCGTAGGGTTCGCGCTCAACCATTATAAATGAAAAAACTTATAAGTATCTCATACATTTGCATCCTATTTTGAAAGTTTTTCCGATTATAATTTTTTTAGATTTTTCGTTGCGCTCAGATACATTTCTAGGTGGACTTATACATAGCAAGTGATACATTACATAATACGAGAGATGTATTCTAGAGAAGATAGGAATGTATCCAAGAGGGAATAAGGATGTATCCGAGAGACGATAGAGATGAATCGAAGACTGATTTTTTTTTATAATTATAGTAACAGGGAATTTTAGAAATCATAATATCTTAAGTTGTGTTTTTATATAATTTTTCATTTCAAAATATTTTGATTAATCAAATCCGTGTGAAATTTGAATTAAAAGGTTTAAGATGTGTTTGGCCATATTTTTAATAACATATTTTACCTTTAACAAAAATGATTTATAATCATAACGAAAATATATTTGACCTAACATCAAACATAATTTATATCCCTAAACTCTAATAATTAACAAAAATACCCAACCATACCACAGAAACAATACTAGCTAATCACAAATTATGCAGAATCTTCGTTGATGACAAATCACAATCTTATATTCATATAAGCTTGCAAATAAAATTATCTTTATATATATATATATATATATATATATATATATATATATATATATATATATATATATATATATTCTCTAGCGTAAGTGTGGGGATGGACTTCACATTGATAGTTGGAAAGAGAAAAAAAGCTATTACTCTCTCCGTTCATTTTTATTTATCATATTGTGCTTTTCGAAAGTCATTTTAATCAATTTTCAAAGTTAAATTAGATTACATTGATTCGATATTTTAAACAAATATTTAAATATTCGAAAACTATAAGAAAAATACTATAAATTGCAGTTTTTTGCATATCAATATGGTGAAAAAACACATCTTAAAATGTTAGTCAAAGTTCTTATAGTTTGACTCTAAAAATAGAAACCATGACAAACAATAATGGACGGAGGGAGTAATAAAATTAGATAGATACTCTTAATGACGTAAGATTTTTCGAGAAACCGATACAAAATTTGACCTAAAGCAATCAATCAACCATGCTGAGGCTAGCATAACAATCATCCATCTGTTTCATATTAGTTGATTATTTTTCTTTGTATAATGCATATTAAAAAAATCATAAATAAGATGATAAATTTTACTAATTTACCCCTCAAAAAGTTTCTTGAAAATTTTACAAGTAAATGTAAACACTTTCGAAAAAAATTATTTGTAAAAGTGATATAGGAAAACAATCTAATTAGTACTTTCTAATTTAGTAAGGTAAAAAACTAAGCAATTATTTTTAATAAAATGATCAACCAATATGAAGCGGAGGAAGTTATATATAATATAATGTACAAGTATCCCCTTAACCTATACTCGAAATCTCAAAGACGGACTTATACTATACTAAGGTCCTATTACCCCTCTGAACTTATTTTATCAATAATTTTTACACCTTTTCGACCTACATGACACTATCTTGTGGGTCCAACGCCGGTTGACTTTTTTTTCAAGCTAGTACCACGTAGGCCAAAAAGGAATAAAAAATTACTTAAAAAATAAGTTCAGGAGATAATAGAACTTTAGTATAGCATAAGTGTATATCCGAAATTTCAGGCATAAATTAAGGGGGTATTTGTGCATTTTCCCTATATTATATAATTTCTTGAACAATATCATTCAATTTTGTTGTCGACATAAAAAGTTAGAGAAATTAAAGATTCGATTGGTTAATTAAGTAAAAGGTCATCGACAAGATATATAGGGGACCATAAGTAAAAAAAAAAACGAAAAAAAAAAGAGGAACATAAATCCATAATCATAATTAACAAGTGATCATAGCAGAAAGACAACTTAATTGGCTGTTTAATTTATGTCTAAGTTACTTAATTATCTCAACGTTAACCACTAGTCAAAGGTTAACGGATTAATTATATTACATAATCAATAGCTAATAGCTTACGTGATAACAGTATTTAAAATAAATATTGGTATAATAAATTTTTAGGAATCTAATCATTTTGTCTTTATTTGTCAACAAAATAAATAACAATGAATAGAATAAAAATAAACAAACAAGAATTTTGATGGAGCGTTAATTACTATTTCATTCTTGAGTAGAGATCTCAATCTTAATTCATTGGATGTGCAATCTTTTCGATAAAAAGTAATTTAATTTCCTAATATAAATTCAAAATTAATCGAACCTCAATACATCAGATTAAAAACCCGGTAATAATATATCGTGAAATGACAAATTATGTATGCAATTCTTTCTAGAAGATTAGCAAACGACATAAGCACATGCCAAGCACAAATAACCACATTTAAATATTTGATAATATTAATTAAATCAACTAACTTTCGTGCCAAGTAATCTAATATGAACATATATAATTATCTTTAATCTAACTCAAAGAAATGTATTTATTAATTTAAAAATTTTGAAATAATATTAGCAAATTAATATTTGATTCACATATGGTCTTTGGTCCACTACTATTTCAACTTCAACTAGAAAAAAAAAACTATTTGAAGGTTGAAGACTAATTTAAAAGTATTTCAAGAACAATAATGATTTTATTCGTAAGAAAATTAATTTAAAAAAATTAATTATTCATATATAAAATAATATGTTATTTGATTTTAACCCAAGAAATTTACGTAACTAATATATACATAAATTATGTATAATTTTATGTGTTTACACAAAATAAAATTACTTATCAATAATTACTAATACATATATAACTCTAATAAACCATTAAACGAAACTATATATTTAAACTATAAATAAATATTTATGAAATAAAATATGGTGTAATCAATGACGTCATTAATGGCCCCTTATTCAAGTTGTGTTTTTGCCTTTTTGGCCACGTGATATAATATTGCACTAAACAATATATCCACTTGCCCACAATAGAAACTTCTAAGAACCCACCTTATCACCAATACATATAAACTTTTTATATTACCATTTATAATCAATGAGAAATAGTAATTACTCATTCATTACGAATTAACACAAAAAATTACAATGTATATCGTGATGATGGATTGAGATTCTTCTTTTCTTTATCCAATGTCGTGAATTTAAATTTTATGTATAAAATCTTTTTAATTAATCGTATTATCTTTTTTGACGAGTTTAATAATATACATAAAAAAATATATCCTCGAACTATAGTAAATGATATGCAAATATCTTTTTTAATATTTTTGGGACAATAATGTCTTTGTCGTTTAAAAATTAGACCATATATATTGTTTATATTAACGGACAAACAAATGTTATAATCATATTCATTAATTTGACAGTTTGACGTATAAGATTATATCATACATGTCCCTATTTAACCTTCCGTCAGAGTAAAGTTATATATGCTTTACTTTTTGGACGACAGAAACATGTCATCAATATTCCAAAAGTATGACGAAGGATTTTTGTATATCATTTAAGATAGCTAGAAAATATTTTTATCTTTTTTCCGTATGTAAAATTGAATTAGTGAAAACTTTTTTAATATAGATATCCAAAATCGAATAGGAAAAAATATGACAACATCATAAATCCTTTTATAGATGCATGAATCTCATTCCTCCTCACTTCCCTATATATATTTCCTCCCTCATTCTTCTCAAATCCAAATTGAACGCCAAATACCTCATAAATCACTAGAAAAAAAAAACTAAAATTCAAAGCGAAATGGATCAACAGTTACCACCGACGAACTTCCCGGTAGATTTTCCGGTGTATCGCCGGAATTCAAGCTTCAGTCGTCTAATTCCCTGTTTAACTGAAAAATGGGGAGATTTACCACTAAAAGTCGATGATTCCGAAGATATGGTAATTTACGGTCTATTAAAAGACGCTCTAAGCGTCGGATGGTCGCCGTTTAATTTCACCGCCGGCGAAGTAAAATCGGAGCCGAGAGAAGAAATTGAATCGTCGCTTGAATTTTCACCTTCTCCGGCGGAGACCACGGCAGCTCCGGCGGCTGAAACACCGAAAGGAAGACATTATAGAGGCGTTAGACAGCGTCCGTGGGGGAAATTTGCGGCGGAGATTAGAGATCCGGCGAAGAACGGAGCTAGGGTTTGGCTTGGAACGTACGAAACAGCTGAAGAAGCTGCAATTGCTTATGATAAAGCTGCTTATAGAATGAGAGGATCAAAAGCACATTTGAATTTCCCGCACCGGATCGGTTTGAATGAACCGGAACCGGTTCGAGTTACGGCGAAAAGGCGAGCATCGCCGGAACCGGCAAGCTCGTCGGGAAACGGTTCCATGAAACGGAGAAGAAAAGCCGTTCAGAAATGTGATGGAGAAATGGCGAGTAGATCAAGTGTCATGCAAGTTGAATGTCAAATTGAACAATTGACAGGTGTCCATCAACTATTGGTCATTTAAAAAGCCGAATATTTCTCCGAACGCCAACGCAAACGCAAAATACTTCGTACATGATTTTTCCAAATTTATTGTAAATACGTAATACTGTATGCATCGGACAATGAGATGATAACGGAGAAAATAGAAAGTTGAATTGGAAAAATATTGTGATAGGGTTAATCCAAAGTTGTAAAAAGTTTCATTTTCATTAATATTAATTTACGTAATGATTGAAACTTTATTCATTTTTTACGAATATAACAAATTAATTTAACCTACTATAATATCAAAATTATTAAACATTACTGACGGTAGAAATAAAGTTACAAAATCAACTTTTGTGACCATTATAATACTTTATTCCAACAAGTAAAGTTTAATGATTATATGTATATATAATAATAAAATTGAATCTTTGAAAGGACATATAACTTTGCAAAAGTAATGCTTACAAATTATTTTTGAAACATTTACTTTTACTAACAATTTTAAATTTCATAAAAAAATTTATGATTACTTTAAAATTTCATGTTTTTAAAAATATATAAATTAAAAGTGATTTGTGAGCGCTATTCTACCGTATTTATTGGTTGGAAAGAAAAAACTATTTACAATATTACTCTTTGGTTCTTTTATGTGGGGCAAAGACAACACTTCAATTTAAGTGTATAACTGTATATGGCGTGACGTGTGAAGTGTTGTTGAAATAGTATTATATTATTTTTTTAATTAATTCTTTTTTTTTTTGTATAAATCAAAATGTGGTTTTATCTTTCTACTTGTAGCTTGTTATATCATTTTCAAATATTTATTAATACGTTTTTCGAATCAATTATATATTTTCCCGCAACAAATATAGACCACAATTTTCTCTTTGTTGAGATAAGACAAACTCTCCCCCAAAACCCCAAATGCCAAAGTGCATTATGTTTGTCAAAAATGGATTTGGAGATATGCAATTCTATGGTATTCAATAATGTCCCCCCTCTTACTCTTCAAATTTACATTTTGTGCTTCTCTTTGAAAAAATACTAGTTAAATATTTATCATATTAAATTATCTTTGAAAAATGAGGACGAATTTAGAACTTCTAAAATTAAAATGTGACGATAAAAAAAATGCAAAACCGAAGTATCAAGTGAGAATTGATTTTTGTTCCTCGAAGTAAATAACTCAACATTCAAAACCAAGTGTATAGTTCACCCTATTTAGAGCAAGACGATCAACATATAATAATTTATAATTTTTTTTAAATATATATATATAAAATATCAAATTTGACAATAAAATTATGAATTTACATGCACTATAATTTATGCAACAAATTTTATCCCTTGTACCAAGTGAGAGTCATTAATCGACAGTAATAGCTATCAAGTTACTCATGCAATAAAATTTACTCGTAAATTCTAAATAACTTTTCAATTATTGAATTATCGAATATAAGAAAATTCATATTTAAGTAGATGGACCAAATAGAAGTCAATGGTAAATGGACCAAGTGGATAGATCATTTATGTATGGTACATGTGTGTAGTCTAAATCAAAGTAGACTTTAAAAAGTCCTCTATTTGTCAATGGTTGTCCATAGAACCTACGTTCATGTTTATCCTTTGAGGTGGACCTTGACTTTTAGAAAAAAGATTGAGTTCGATCAGATTTAATAACTTATAATAATTAAAATTTTAAATATATGAACTTTATATTTTGGCTTCATCTATTTTTAATGTTTTTCTAATATTCTGCCGATTTTTTTTTTTAATTTGTTCTTTGGAGAATTTACTTAAATTTTTTTAATTTTAATTTTGAAACTTTTATTCTCATAATGACATGTGATCTATTACATGTTTAATTGTTGTCCATAGACCATAGACCCTACTTCTTTCAAGTTTATCCTTGAGTAGGACATTGACTTTAGAGGCTAACCTAATTACTCTATCACCCCACCATTTTTTTTTTTTAAAGAAAAAGAATTATTTAATTTTTATTTTTTAGTATTCTCATAAGTCATAGTGACATGATATATTAGAACTCACTTGATATAAAACACAACTATTGTGGAACACTTTCATCACATTTATGTAATTTGAGTAGTTGACAAACTTTTTTTGTGTTAAAAAAAATACCTTTGGCCTTCAATTTGTATTAGGCTTGGTGTATCATATATGTTAGTAGTTTTTTTCTTATGATTATTATTCATTGTTTATGGTACTTCATATTATTTGTTGTTGTTACTATTCCTTTCTTGTTGTTATTGAATTTCATGTAATGCTTTTCGTGTAATTTGTTATGTTTTGTTTATTTTTGTATTTTCCTTTCATACTATTTTGATACACATTATTTGAGTCGGATTTTTTTAAAAAATAACCTCTCTACCTCCACGAAACAAGAGCAAGATCTGCATACAATACTCTCCCTCTCTTTACCTTTCTACCTCCACGAGCTATGTTATTGTTATCATTCCAATCGAGAAATAATTATCCTTAAAAAGAAATATTATATTTGAATTAACGATATATAATTAAGTACAAAATGAACATAAAGCCCATATCGATTTGTAAATATGGGCTTTCTTGCAAGGCCTTCAATCTGTGATATGGAGCCCATATTCCAAAACCTTATAATTTTGTAATATGGGCTCTGGACCAAAGCCTTCAGAGTTCAGACTAATGATGTTACTAAGTCAATTTAGGTAAAGATGTTCAAAATTGAATCGTATCGATAACTCAAAATATTGTTATCAATTTATCAAATTAACACTTGGTAAATAAAATACAATTTTATAGTTAATGACTTATCAATATGCGGACAGATTACTCAATTTCTTTATGGAGTAAGTCTTAACTCATTAAGTAAGTCTGAAATCACCAAAACTTACGTAAGGATGTTTAAGTTCAAATCACATCAATAACCCAACTACGAACTTAATCTTTTGAATTATAGTTATTGATTTATTGAATTAACAATTGTGAACATATTACAATTTTATAGTTAACAACTAATCGATGTGAGAGCTGGTTACTCAATTAGATATCAAGATTATATATGTATATCAATTTTAACAAGGGATATATTTGTTAGTATTTTAGGGACTAAAAAAGCATCAATTTTCTTTTCCCTCTATCTAAAATTGCATCTATCCTAGCTAATCATGATCTTAGCTTAAGTGAACACACACATGACAATTATTGAAAGAGATTTTTAGGCAAGTTGCAAGTCATCTTTAAATATATACATAATTAAATTGAAGTGATGAATTATGTATTATATATGTATGTGTTTAATAAGGGGGAAGTTATTTTGCAAAAAAAATATTTCCTATAAAGTTATTTGTTCCTTTTGTAGCAAATTAAATGGTTGGGCTTCTTACAATGTGACTATTTCCATACAAATTATGAAATTATATATTGTCATTTTACAACCTATTTAAGGCTATTTGATGATTTTTTTGTTTATATAATCCCAAACTCAATTGATATTAAAAGTTGTAACTTCACTCAAATTTTGTTTACACAAACTTGTAGGAGCGTATGAGAAGTCTCTTTTTTCTCCTTTTCTTTTTGAGAAAAAACATAGTATAACTCAGGGGCGGAGCCATCTTGTGCGAAGGGGGTTCGACGAAAAATTATATTATTTATACATGATTAAAATAATTTTTGTACGTATATATAATAGATATTGAACCCCTTTCAACTATTTCATATGTCTAATTATATAAATTTTGAACCATCTTATAGAAAATTCTGGCTTCGCCTCTGATATAAACATCTGGCTTTTGTAGGCAGGTAGTTAGTTCTATGAGGATTGTCGGTTTATGACCTAACTTCTAACCTTATTTAATGCTATTTGATGACTTTTTGATCATGTAAAATCCAAATAAAACAAAGTTGTAACGTTCGAGGTTTATATTACAAACACATGGTGATTTGCATGAAAGTAGTAGTTTATATAAGTAGAGGAGATACTAACATAGTTCATTTATTTTAAGAGTGTTAAAGTATTTTTATTTGTCTTGTGACACTTTTACTTTATGATATTCAAATTATGTAAATTTTGATCATTTTTTTAAATATATATTTTAAAAGACATAACAATGAATTTAGTGATATAATATAACATAATATAAATAATAATCAAAACAAACATTATATTTGAATTAACAATATAATACAACAATCCAAATAAGTTGTTATTTGTGTTAGAATTTATTTTTCGAAAAAAGAAAAGTAATAAGAATTATTTGAGTGTTTTGCAAGCAAAATTAAACAAAATGAGCCTAAGCCAATCTCAATTTGTAATATGGGCTCCGGACCAAAGCCTTTAGAGTTCAGACCAATCAATTAAGGGAAAATTATATAAAATAGCAAATTATTAATTCAAATTAAATGTTATCGTCATAGTTTATTGTAATTCACAGAGAACATCCTTTTTTTTTTCTTTTTTACCATTTGATTCGATATACAATTAGTCATTTTATACATTTCGATATAAAATGTGTATTTGTGTTTGTATAACACGAGAGAAAAAGTGTATATACAAATACAAATACATATATATTCATCCTATATACTTGTAATTATATATATACAAATTTTATTATACAAATTACAATGTATAAATGAGTTTATACAATACTGAACAATTTGTATGAAATTGAATGTTTCTAGCGAATTATACAAATCAAAAGCTCCATAGCAAACATAAAATTTGCTATGGAGTACAATTATGCAAACTATAGCTATAACATACAAATATGATTTTTATGTTTGCTATATATGAAATTTGCTTAATAAAAAAAAATCAATATTTAATTTGATTTTAAATTTTAAAAATATACACTATTTGATTTGATTTTGATTTTACTAAAAAAAAAATCCAAAAAAATAACCCTCAAACAGGTTGGGATTTTACTAGTTTATATTTATCTTTATCCAAGTATATAATGTTGGAGAAATTTTTGATTGGCTGAATATTTAAAACATCCTTTGCATAATCACTTTATTCCTTTGAGTTGAGTTGTTAATTAACAATGCTTTTTAATATGT